ATCCATGACGTTGTTCATGAACAGAGGAAGGACAGCACAACCCAAATTATTAGTCTTTGGTGCCGCAAAGTGTGGTGTGATAGCAAGGAGCTTAGATGGCTTTGGAAAAGAATTGGATATGTTCAAAGAATTCTCTTGGTAGCTATTGGCAATGATAACTGATTTTATTGATTGGTTTACATTATTTGTGTAACCTTCTGTAACTCTGTTGGATCTCAGAGCAGTTCACCCTGGTGAGCAGTTAGCAATACTGGATTGGAACTGAACTAAGTTAGCTGTACTTTGTTTCCATTGAAATCAGTGGGACTAATTACTAACTTGCTCCATTCATTTCAATGGGACTGAAGTTCATCTATTTTAATCTGGATCCAAGGCCCAAATAATGGCTTGGGTCTAGAATCAGTCAGATAGAATAGCTCAATTGAAATCACTGGAAATTAAATTAATCATGACATACCCTGTTTAGCTCAGTGGCTCTGCTCTAAATATGACTGAATCTGGATAAACCTCTATTACCAAGTAAAAGAATAATGAATAGAACCTCAGCGTTTAGAGGCAGCATTCCAGTTGTTGAAGGTAAACAAACAAAATGGTGTAGTTCACCATGTACTGCTTGTGAGCTCCCGGAGGCATTGGGATGATCACTGTTGGAAACAGAACATCAGATCTTACAGCTGGTCTGATGATCATCATAATCTCTAACAAAACTGTACAGAGATTTTTTATTTCACTGCAAAACAAGATGCCTGCACTCATTTTGAACACTGATTCACTGATAGTTCTCCAGGTGCTGCTAGACTACAGCTTTCAGTGTCCCTGGCCATTGCCTTTGCTCGCTGGGGATAATGGGACTGGGAGTCTACAACATCCTCAAACCTGTTGTAATTAATAACAGACAATTAAATGTATTAAAAGAGAGTACAGGAGGACTGATTGGATATTCCAGAAAGAAAGCATAACCCAAACATACTTCACCCATTCAGGAAACAGCTGAAGAAAGCCCTATCTTGGAATGTACCTTAGGCAGAGGTTAGGCTGCCTTCTCTAATAATGTCTGCATTTGCAGCCCATGCGAATTTCATTTCCTTTTCCAGAGCAATAAAGGAAGAGTTGAACTATTCCAGACCAAACAGCAATCTTGTGATTGCCATGCAGAACACTCTTGAAAGTCTGATATTTCAGTATCAGTAACCTGCATTTCTGATTCCTCAGTTAGTTTTCAGTTCACTTGACAGTATCACAGCTAAGCCAGATAGCACATTTCCTCTCACAAGAGTTTAAGTCTATATGGGAAGCTTGAAATTAAGATAATTACTAGCAAATTTCTTAGTCATGTTCTTCTTAAAAAAAAAAAAAACACTTCTTCTGAAAATATGGTCGGTATAAAATGAGAAAAATATCAAAGCTCTTCCCTTTCTCCTAACCACCAGCCATTCTATGATTTTCCAGCTTTGTGCATCTACTCCCCCCATTCTAAAAGGTGGAAGTGTAAACTAACCCTTTGTTTTGGTTCAAAAGTACTCCTACATAGGCATTTTTTCCCTGACAAGTAACCTAAATTTAAACTTTTGGATTTAGTAAGAAGCCGGGTAGTGAAATTTGTTGCCTTATAAAACCAGCTGTATCCAGTAGGGTTTCTTATGTTTGGTTATCATTCTGTTGATTCCCATATTGTCTCCTGTTTGTTTACTTATAGCACCATAGTGGAAATAAGAAGGTGATGAATTAGTTGATGTGCTGAGCATCCAGTTTCTTAATTCAGCTTTTAAAAAAAATCCTCCTACCTGAATGTTTGCAGATATTGCTAAAAATGATTGCTGGGGTTATCTAAGTGACTGCAGGTTGCACAGCTTGCTGATAACTAAATACATCATTTAAACATCAGCACCAAACATTAAATACAGGCTGCAAGACAAGAAACTATAAAAACATTACTGTAAAGTAAAACAGGAGGTTCATTTGTATTAATTAAGGATTATTTAGGTTGCAATCCAGTGAGGTTACCCATAGCCATGTGAACTTTGCATCATGGTAGTACCTGTTCCTCTCCTCCCCATCCCCAAAAGCCCATCTCTGAGGTCGTGCTCATGATCTCGGAGCCAAAGCCAGCAGGGTCCTTTCCACGCTGGCTCCAAGGGGAGGAGGAGGGTGCTACAAGTCCAGGGTCCCAGCTCTGACCTTACAGCAGGTGTCAGAGCTGGAGCTGGGACTGCCCTCCCTGCCCCCAAAACTCCCTGTGGCAGTCTGGTCTCTTGTCTAGCAGCCGTAGGATTGCACTATTAGCTATGTAATTAAAAAGCAGATCTCATAGTTCCAGACTTTACTCTTTGGACATTGATTGTTGGTATGCAGTTAATTTATATTCCAAAAACTGTTTTGCACATGCTTTTATGGAGAGACAGGGTACATACATAAATTTTCCAGTCATGGGTTGTTACAAAGTACAGTTTCTCTTTGCATCTGAACATGCAAACTGGTTTGTACAAATGTGTTTCTTAGCAAAGCAGGATATCAAGTATGCTTTGATACCCTGGTTTGTTTCTAATATAACAGCCAACTGTAGTGGGACATCAACCCTGACCAGAAGCTTTAAATCTCTTTCCTTTGCATTACTTGTTCTTATAATAAAAAAAAACAAATTTTCATCAATCTGGATTGGATTGTCTTCTTGAACTCCACTAATGAACTGTTTATTTCTGGAATGATATACAAGGAAACCTAAGTAGTCCAAGTGTTTGGAGGGCTTGAGGAGAGGACCTGGGTCCAACCTGTCTTCAAAGTTGAAAATAAACCTATAAAGACAGGGGAATCAAGCTTTTATATAATGATTGCATAACTTCACAGCACTGACAGGCCATAGTCTTGGATTTATTGCCATGCTAACCAAGAAAAGCTACTTAGAAATTGAGCTCTAGTTAATAAACACTTCAAAAGAAAGAATTGCTGCCAGCTGCAGGTGAGCCAGACATTTGCTGAAAGTCATTTCCCACTAGAAAGAAGCCCGAGCTGAATGGAGAAGATGTTACTGGCCTCCTAGAAGACAGAAAACTGTGTTTGCTGCACTAAGTGCTACCACTCGTAAAGCATATTAAGCCACTCTTAAATTTTTCTTTTAGCCAGCCCTCTTGCATTTGCTTTTATCACATGGACAGGGACTGCCTCATGATGTCAGTGTTCTCAGCCTATTACAGGACAGTGTTCATCTTGCAAGTCTCTTCATCAGCGTAACCACAGCTTTGGAAGGGAATGGCATGGTTGAGAGAGCCACATCTGGGCTTCAGAAACACTGCACCCACTTCCCTCCCTCTGTTGTGGCATGCTTGGAAAGCACGTGGATGGCTTGGGTGAACCATAGCTTCCCGAGTTGTCTGGATTGCCAGCTTCTTAAGAGCATGAGGATCAGATCCAGAGCCAATGTGGCAAAGTGGTTGAAGTGTTTGACTGGAACTTAGGAGATCTGGTCTCTAAGTCCACACTCAGTGCTCAAACTCACTGAGTGACTAGACTAATCATGGACTCTCAGCCTAGCCTACCTAATAATAGGTTGTTGTTGTGGGAATAAAATGGAGAGAAGAACCTTGCAAGTCACCTTGGATTCCTTGCAAGAGGAAGAAAGTTGGGGTATCAGTGTAATATAATAACAATCACTTCCAGCATTCTGTCTACAATAGCGGCCAGGCAGCTGGCAAGCAGAATATGAGCAGGACAGCTTCCTCCCTGTTTATGTTCCCCAGCTCCCGGAATACAGAAGCACACTGCTCCTGATGCTGAGGGTGACTCATAGCCAACTTGACTGGTAGCCATTTGTAGCCTCACCATCCATGAATTCATCTAATCCCCATTTAGAGCTGTCCAAATTGGTAACCATATCTTGTAGTAGGAAATCCCACTGATTACTTATTCATTGTATGAAAATACTTCCTTGAATCTCCCGTTATCAGCTGGGTAGTACTAGTTAGAGAGGGGGACTTGCTCCAAACTAAACCTAGTTTGCCTGTTCAGATGACACAGAGCACTGCTGCATTCAGGCCTGCCAAAAGATCTATTCATATCTCAGCTTATTACATCAAAATATGATGTAATGTGATATTAAAATATGAATCAAAATCTGAACATGGTCAGTGGAATTTAACTTGAGCATAGCATTAACAAGGTGCTCAAAGATTTTCAAACTACCTTAACAGCCAGTCCATCCTGCCTTGTGCCATGGACTTCAACAGGTAGCAGCTCTCCCAAGCCTCCTGCAGAGGAATTCTCCTCTTTTATCTGACATTCCTTCAGCTGGAGATTCCAGGGACTGAACCTGGAACTTTTTGCACACAAAGCATGTGCTCTGCCACTGGTACTGAAAGTACTTCCATTTTCTTCCCTCTCCTCTCCTGTAGGATGGAGAGACAATTTTGGAGGGTCTGAGGGAAGCACACACACAATCTAATGAAATTACAGCTGCCAGATTTCAACAGGAAGAAAAAGTTCTCATGCCCTTTAAAGGAGGAGAATGAAGAGCACCGAACTTTAATTCAGAATTGTACATCTAGAACCTGGAGGGAAGCATGTTGCACTTAAAGCAAGCTATATGCTCCTTGCATGCCTTGTTTTAAGGATTAATGCAGCTTTTTTCTCACCACAACTGCTACAGCAGTGATATGAAGGTGGCATTTAGACCACGGATCTTATGTTGCCTCTCCACTGCTGTAGGAGAATATGATACTTCCTATTGTAATGAAGAAGCTGGACCTGGCCTGCAGGTACCAGAGCTGAAGCAAGAAGTACCTCTCCTTGCTCAGAGTACTTGCTTAAGTGCCTCAGTTAGGAAGTTACTTGCAGCAATCCAGAACTGGACCTCACTTTTTGCTCCCTGTCCTGCAGCTCGCTGGGATAGTGGAGAGAACTGAGAGAACTCGGGTTTGTGTTCTGCTAATGGTTTACTGCTGGTCCATTACATTCTATCTAACCAGATTTTTCTTCCCCACCCCCATCTTCTTAAAATTTTGTTTCAGAACGTGCTAATTGTGGAGGTGAGTTTCTATGTTTGCATATGTTAAATATTATGGTACTGTGGTTCACATGTAGCTGCAGATACACAAAGAAAAGTCAGTAAAAGTTTCTGCAAGTTTAACTATTTGCAACCAAACCTGATTGTTTTTGGAGTAGGCTGGGATTATTGAGTTAATTGTACCTGAGGGAACAACTTGTTGTGATTATTTAAAACAAAACAAAACAAAACAAAACTTCTCCCTATCTTCTGAGAATAACACTCCCCCCCCCCTTTTACTGACAATGAAAGGGGAATTGAATTCCCACATCTTCAACAGAATAATGGAATGGTGCTAACACTGTAGAGCAGCCTTCCAAATTCTGATGTCCCCCACTGACTTTTTAGACTACAACTTCCATCATCACAGCCAGCATAGCCAATAGTCAGGGATGGTGGGAGTTTTAAATGGTGGGAGTTTCGGTCCAGAACTTCTGGGGTTGAACCTAGAATCATTCTTTTGCCAATGGATGGGCACCAGTGATGGAATAGGACATCTGCATCTTCTCTTCTTATCACATGTTGCTAAATGTCCACGGGGTTCCACAATTCACTGGTGCAGATTTGGAGGATGCATATAGGGCTCCAGGAACAGAGAAGATTCAGAAGCCTTGCTGCACTAGTGGTCCTTTTCTGCTGGCAGAATGATATTTCTGGTTGCAAGGCCTGGAGGTGGAAGCCTTAGGGAAGGACTGAAGAAAACTGTTTCAGAATGTTTGATTTTTTGGATAACTTCTTTCCCTCCCTTTTTTGCCTTTCATGCTTTGCAAAGGACATAATTGGAACTGGACGGACAATGAAAGCTCTCCTTGAGAATATTGAAAAATGCCAGCCCAGAATGGTTAAGGTGGCCAGGTAAGAGTAGCATCTGGGGAGAGGCCATGGCTCGCTGGTCAAGCATATCCTTTGCATGCGACAAGTCCTAGATTCAGTCTCTGGCCCTGCCAGTCCTCAGCTAAAAGGATCTCAAGAAGCAGGGCTGGGAAAGTTCTCTGTGCCCTTGGAACTGGACCAGGGGTAGATGGAGTGGGCAGTCCTCTGGCTCAGCATAAGACTCCACTCTATACTATTTGTCAAGCAGTGGGTTGCAAAATCACTTTCAACCTGAAGGTCAAATTCTCAGGGGCCACCTTCTACTGGTGGACAAGTCCAAGGTCAAAGTGGCAGGGCCAAGAGGCCTGCATATTTTAGTGCAAAGCTTTTACTTAGGAGAAACATTTCAACTTTTCAGAATGGAGGAAAAATTGCCCAGAAGCCAGGTAACTACCAAACAATTAATTCCTAGACAGTTTGCTGTTCTGTCTGTTTTCCCTTAGCAGTTTTTACTCAGTGAGAAAAAAGATGGATAAAGAAAGGGAAAGTAGGAGGATTATGTTGGGAAGATGGTATCTAGACCTCCTGCAAAATTCCATGAATGTAGGGTGAGGGCATGAGAATAGCTTCATCTGAAAACACCCTGGTACCCATCAGCTGTTTTGAACTTCAGCTCCCATCAGCACCAGTTGGTATGGACAGTGGCTGGGGATGATGAGAGTTGTAATCCAGTAACCATACAGATGGCACTGGTTTGGGGAAGGCTTACTTAGGCCCTGAAAAGCTGCTCACAGCAAGTAGAAAATGAATTTCCAGATGTTTTGGACTCTCATTCCTGGCATTCCTGACCATTGGCCCTCTTAGCAAGGGCTTCTGGGATGTGAAGTCCAACACTTCAGGCAGTGCTACTTAGGCAGACAAATTTTCTGACCTGCACAAGGCAGTTTCCTATGGGTCTGAGCAGCTGGCAGGCTGAAATATCTGACTACCAGGTTGTGGTTCAGTTCAATTGCTCGCAGGCCTTGAAGCAATGGGAGGGGGGGAAATGCATTTAATCAAGCCAAGCTTATGAGTTACTTGAACAAATCCAGCACTGTCTCTTTTTACGATAAAACAGTTTGTTCTTTTTTAATTATAGTTTGTTGCTGAAAAGAACATCTCAGCCTGATGGGTACAGACCTGACTGTAAGTGCTCTTGAGTGGATTTTCCACATTTCCTGATTCTGAAGTAATTGAGATGTTCTAGTGTCCTGTATTCACTGCATAGGCAAGATGGTGCATGCCCAGCTACTGAGGTGTCATACAGAAGTGATGCTGTGAATGATGTTTGTGTAATGAAGGTGTCGTGTTGGTCAGAATACTTAACTTATTGCTGTCACCCAAGCACAGCAAGTCTGCATAAGGGCTATGTTTGAGATTAATGCATTTTAGTCAGTTTCAGAACTTCCATGGTCAGAGGTCTCAACCTTGATCTCAGTATTGTGGGTTGGAGAGAACTGTTGCTTGGGTTGCATTCAGTGTTAGTCCTACTTAGAGTAAACCCATTAAAAATTAATGGGACTTAATTTAGACTAACAAGGGACACAGTCTTCCATATGTAGGCTATGGAGGTCTAACAGTGAAATACAAGGACACAGTTCCTAAGATTCTTTGGGGATAATCAGTTTCAATCACCTTCTGCTGTAAACATACTCTAAAAGATGTTCTTTGCCATTAGCTATGAAAATGCTCTTAGCATTTTGCTAGGCAGTTGTGAGTTATGATGCAGCACAACATGGTTACAAAGATTGACACTGTCTCCAGCTGTATCTCAGCTGCAGCCACTTGCAGATGCATGGTGAAACACAGAAACTGAGTGAGTCAGAAGGGGTCTCCTGGGCCATCTAGTCTGACCCCTGGCTCCAGCCAGCTGTGCTCAAGACATGCCTAGATATGGTACTTCCATATGGTGAGATATGGTACTTCCAAGAATTGGTACTAAAAGCTGTAGGGGAAAGCAAATATGCAGCTTTGCAGGGCTGCAGGGCTGCATTCCAGTGGTTGATGGGGCAGAGACATCATTCTTTTAGAATGGAGTTAAAAACTGCACAGAAACTATCACATGATTGATGTTTGTGAGAATGGAGGCTTGGCCTTTTTTGGAACCCCAGGTTGCTGACCTTGGGAAGGCCAGACATTACCCCTGGTCCGAGGTTCTACATCCCCATTATAGAGCGTTAATTCCAGTGAGGATGAGTCTGTGTTTAGATGAGAGGTCAGTGATGTGCTCCTGTTCCTGTCAGAGATCCTCAAACCATGCATAGCTGGCAAGCCAGCCAGGTCACTGAAGTGACACAAAGCAGGTGTCACACCACTGTCTGTATTTGTAACAGTATAGCCTTTCTGTGCCTGTTTTTCCTTTTCAGATTATGGATTTGAAATTCCAGATTTATTTGTGGTGGGCTATGCCTTAGACTACAACGAGTACTTCAGAGATCTAAATGTAAGTGTCTTCTACCCTTTGTGTCCTGAAGAGACCCTTTTATAACTTGTGGCCTACAGACCCAACTAGCCTAGATTTGGTTTCTGTTTATAGTTGTAGTAATAATTTCTGCAGTGGCTTTGCTGCCTATAGTGCTTTTAAACAGGCAGCACTGAGCTAGAACGGCCAATGGTCTAAATAATTATCAGTGCAGCTTTCCATATTGCCTTGTTTCACATTTTTGCATCTCGACATATGTAGTATTTTGTCAGCAGGGGAATGAAGATGAAGATGTCATTTGCCAATGAACCGATTGTGACTACAGTATCTAATGCTGCTGCCTAAAAACTATCACCAGCCTTTGATAAATTGTGATAATAAGCTCCATGTTTGTTTGTTTCAGCACATATGTGTCATCAATAATCATGGCAAAGCCAAGTACCGTGTCTAAAAACCAGTTGGTTAGCCTGAACTGGAAGACGGACTGTCCTCTTGAAGCATCCTCTGAAGAACTGACATTCATCTCATTCACCCTGGACTAATATGTGGCATCTTGTCAAGACGGAGATCCTCTGACTTTGTCATTGTTGGACTCCCTAATCTCTTTGAACTTTCCTAGGGGTCACCACAACAAGGCAAAGACAAGAAGTCCTCCTATTTTTTATGTTAATACATAGGTTCAAAATATAGAAGCGGTAGGGGAGCAGAAGATAGTTTTTGTCCCTTGGGTCATATATAGCAAGCACCCATGTGAAGAAATAGCTTGAAATTTCACAAAATCATTTTACAACAATTGCAACTTTGTGGGGGCTGCAATGGGACTTGAGTGTGCTGTGTTGCCTCTGACTCTCTTAAACAAAAGTTTTGCACCTTCATTTGAGCCCGACTTTTTAACTGAGTTTTCACCTGACTGTCCTCCAAGGAGCTCAGCGTGCATGGTTTTCCCCCTCTCCCTTTATCCACACAGCAACCTCATAAGTTAAGGTTAGGCCAATTAAGAGCGACTTGCCCTGTGCACCCAGTTGGCTTCATGGCTGGCTAAGGACTTGAGCCCTGATTCCTCAGGTCCTGGTCCACCACTCCAGCCACTATACCCTAGTGATGTGCAAACCGCAGAGGAGCCCTCAGTGAATCACACAAAGAAGCCATCCACCATGGCTGGTCACTGTTGTCACAAGGGCAGCGATAGGTTGCCCGTCTGCCTCTAAAAGAGGCGCTTAGGTTTTTTTCTCAGCTAGAATCTGTTTTGCTGGTTAAGCAGATTTGTGAAACAGATCGTGAACACCACATTCAAGGAGCATTAAAGAGATGCACTGCTCAATTCCTCAGCACTTGACAGCCCAAAACTCGATGCTGCACACAGAGCAAGGGGTTCTGTATAAATGGAACCCCATTCATCCTTACAACATCCTTATGAGGTAGGACAGGCTCAAGCTCAGTCATTCACTGAGACTTGCTGCTGGGAAAGGAATCAACCCCAAGCCTTTCTCATCCAGCCCTTGGTCCACTGCACCAAGCACAGGTGGTGAGCTTCATGATGAGCTGAGTTTTGATGTCAGATGTCCCCAATCCTAGCCCTACACTCTACCCCAGGAGTGTTGAACCCAAGGGCTGAACTCCATTTCAAAGAAGCTCTTGGGACCCACAGAGCAAAAGGAAAAGGTGGCAGAGCCAAAATACTAGCATGGTTTAGTGTAAAGCTCTTACTTGTAGGCACTAAGCCTTAGAAGAGGCATTTCAAACTCAGAATGGGAGAGGAAACAGCAGAAGGTAGAATCCACTGAACAGGAGGTTACGCCCCAGAGTGTTAAGTAGAACTTCAAATTGGCAGTGTTTTTTTTTCCTGTATGGGGCCTCTCAACACACCTCGGTATAGCAAGTATTTGGGTTGCCTGAGGAAGGCCCACCTCACTGTCTGAGACAATGATTCCTATGCAATGTTATTGTTAATTTGGAATCTGTGCGGTATTAAGGAAGCATAGAGCACAGTGGAGAGTAGGAAACATAGCTCCGACTTCTGAGAGAAAGTGTTATGCAGAGGCCAACGCTGATGCTCAGAGCAGGTCAATGAACTAGTAAAGCTTCCAGGAATAGGCAGTATGTAGCCTGTAGCCATCACTTGGCCTAACTGAGCCTTTTTTCTGGTCCCAGCAGCCAAGAGAGCTTGGCTCCTCCAATCTCCTGGAGACAACTAGAAAAAGGCATAGAGCTTGGAAAAAGAGCAGAGTGATATGCAGCCTCAACTTCTAAGCCATATTTGAATGCCAGGATTATGTCAGGATTATTGCCTGGCTTTGCTTGTGCCCAAAAAAGTCCCACCAAGATGAAGGATATTGCTTGTTGCTTGTTCTTGAACTACGGAGTTTCTTTGTACAATTGTTGCAAGCTATTTAGGCATTAAAATGCATTCAGCTCTGCCCCATGGCAACTTACTCATTTTTCCCTTAGGCTCATTCATTGAATGTGGTCTTTCCCCATAGGTTGTTCAATATTCTAAGTCATGGTTTTAAACCAAGTTTGGAATTTAGCTCTGGACTAAATTCAGTGAGATCCAATGTGGCAGGATTTGTTTGGAGCTAAACATGCTGTAAGCCACTTGATCTTTTTATATAAGGAGTGGAGATTCCTCATATAATCTTCTTTCACATAGGAAATCCATGAAATAGAAGGGTGGTGTATTATATTTCATAGCTAATCCCAGGCTGGGGGAAGCCAAGATCTCTGAATTTTGAATGTCCAGAACTCTCACATCTCCAGTGAAGGTGCATGTTGGTGTATTTCTGACAAGCTATTACCATCCATTCAGCTAAAACCAGAAAAAAAATCCAATTTAATAATATTGACCTTAGGTGAAGTTTTGCAGGGCAGCTTTGATTTGAGCTTTCAAGAAAAGATGATGTGTCATAAAAGCATGGAGGTAATCAAATGCGTTTAGTACATTGAATTTTAGTTGGTACAAAACAATAGCACCAAAAAAACAATAGCAGCTAAGGTTTGGTTGCCAAACAGCATCCTTAATTTGTGTACAACATAGGAAAGTGATAGAGTTTACCCTCTAAAAATCCTAAACCCTTGTACAAATATTTGTTTCCGTAAGTAAAACAAATCATGGACAAAGGTTTGCTTGGATGGCATTTCTTTCTCAAATGTTTTTTTCCCTTAAGTTGTTTATAAAAGTAATTCACCCATCAATGAATATGGTACTGTATGGATAAGTACAGAAATATATACTTTGTTCTGAATATAGGAAACTTTTTATAGCAAAACTTTGTAATACCAAAAGCATACTGAATATTGCAGGCTTGTGAAGTTTCTTGAGTTTTTTTGCCACTGTCTGCAAAAAATGTTTCCCTAATTTACTTGTTGCACTTATTTGAATAAGGTTGTGATGTGTTATATACAAACTGCTCTCAATAACTTCCTGAAGGAAACCAGTGAAAAAATAATATTAAAAATCTAATGTGAGTAGCTTTGTTCTGCTTAGCATGGGGGCTATTGTTGCTAGACTGCAGTTTCCTTTGCACTAATAAACAGTGAGAATGCTTTGCTGTACTGCAAAATCCTTCTGATTCCCCCTCCCCTCCTCTTCAGCATCCATTTGCACATCCCATTGAAGCCTTCACAATGTAAGCAAATGCTTTTCAGGGGAAACCATGTAAACATTTCCTGTGGGCTAATCTAAACATTTCCTGTATACCAATGCTGTGGCTGTACAGTTTTAAAAACGTGAATAAAGTGAAGTAGAGTTATTACAGGATTGTTAGCATGACATAGTTCATGGCCTTTAATAGCCATGCTTATGTATATGCAAAGATTTCCCTACCTTCTTGGGATGCTTTTGTTTTGAAGAAGAAAACAATTCCCACTCAGCAATCCAAGTGGGTAAACCAGCAATGAAGAAAAATACCCTGCCCTACAACTTTGATGATCTTAGGACAGCTTGGAGCTGCTGGATCTGTTCTAAGTGTTGTTGTTTTGTGCCATCAAGTCATCTCTGAATTATGGTGACTTGATGAATGAATGCTCTCCAAAATGACCTTGACAGTCCAACTCGGCACTTGTAAAACTCAAGGTTGTGGCTTCCTTTCTGGAATCAATCCACCTCATAAATGGGCTTCCTCTTCTTCTGCCTTAAATTTTCCCTAGCATGACTGTCTTCTCCAGAGAATCTTGTGTTCTCATGATGTGTCCAAAGTACAACAGCTTCAATTCTGTCATTTTTACTTCCAAATTTTGAATTGATCTGATCTAGGATCTACTTATTTTGCTTTCTGTCAGTCCAGGATATTTGCAAAGCTTTCCTCCAGCATGAAGGCTTAAACATACTGATTTTCCAGCAGCTTTCTTCTCTGTCCAGCCTTCATATCTTTACATAGTGGTAGGAGATAGAACAAGTGTGAATGATCTTGTTTTTTCATAAATAATAGTTAACAATTTGGATTCATAACTGCAAAAATCCCTCATTAATCTTAATCATTAATCAAGGAGGACACAGACGGGGTATCATCTGCATACAACAAAACTGGGAGTGGCCTAACTCCTAACATCTGGAGTTGTAAAAAAGCATTAATTAGGGTAGTAGTAACAAGAATGAACAGTAAAAGCACCACCAGACAGCTTTGGTGTAATTCCCTTTAGATAATTCCCTAGTGTACCCCACTTGAAGACAGAAAAATAAAGTGACCTACTTTCTGTATTACTTTGTGACAATTTGCCCACAGGTGTTCGTAATGATGAAGTAAAATTTTTGCTGTTCAGTCAACAAAAGTGAAACAAAGTAGATTTTTTCTCTTGGCATATTTATCGTTCAATTGCAAAATAGCATAACGTTTTTGAGCTCTTGAAGTTCCTTCATGGAATCCTGCCTGTTCTTGAGAGAAAATATTTTCTTCTTCAGTTCAGTAATTTGTCTACAGCAAATACTGTCCATATAATTCACTCATTTCCAATTCTAGTGAAATTAGCCTACAATTCATAAGAAACACCTTATCTCATTTGAAAAAAATGGCACCACAATCCATTCCAGGGCTTGTGTATTTGTCTTGTTTCATTTGTTGCTGTAAGAAAGGGAGGTAATTCTAACATCTGACATAGGGCTTCAATCTTCTGATGGAATAAAATTATTCCCTTGTATTCTTCAGATGAAATACTAGTTGTTCCACTTCTTTAACAGTAAATGCTCCCCACATATAGAATTGACTGAACAGTGCTGTCCTTGCATTTACTAACATTTTTTGATTTGTCGTCATTAGAAATCCTATAAAGTTGCTGCTTTCAAGAACCAATTAAAATACAATTCTACAGTTTGGGCCTTAATTTGTTGCCACCCCTTCTGATCAGTTTTCAAAATGATTAGAGTTAGGGACAAGGCCAATTTGTCTTGCCTTGTCTGGGATTGTGTCTGAATTAAGCAGATTATTTGCCTTTAATTCAAGCTTAGATGACCCTATAACTCTTCTCTCTTAAGATCACTTCTAAATAGCCTGTAAGATGGCTATCTAACAGATCCCTTGGGCCTCATCTCCCCCAGCATTAGGTTCCAAGGAGATAGGTCAGCAGTAACTACCTGATCCTAGTAACAGCTGGAGTGTGCCATCACTGTTGGGGAAACAACCATATAATCTACCACACTAACACCATTTTGAGAGGAAAATGTAAATTCTTTCTTTGTCCCCTTGGGTGCAACCATTCAATATACTAAGATTAGTCTTAATAGGTCTGTCAGGACCTCATCAGCCTTGTTAATTATAGTCTCTTGAATTCCTAGTTACCTAAGTGATTCAGCTGCTCTTCAAACTGTGCAGTCTGGTTAGTATAAAATGATGAAACAGTGTATAGAACCTTCCAGTATAATAAAGCTATATTTTAAAGTGTTAATTATCCAGGCAGCCAAACAATCATCCAGCTTCCTCACTTGATAAATTCTTACCCTAAGTGCTTCCTTGAGAGGGATGGCACTAAAAAGCAACTACATCCATGGAAACCAGTATTCATTAAAACCCAGGTCAAAAAACCCTAAAGCATAAACCTTAAAAATTCTCCTGTTTCTCTCAGTCTCCTGTACTGGCCTCCCACCATATTCCAAGAAAATATATAGCTTTCCTCAGTAATACAGGGAGCTCCTCTTCCTTTAGAACATAGATGTCATCTCATCTGTATGGCCCCATTGGTCATCATTGTATCTTGGAATGAATTAATTTCTGCGTGAACTGGCCTCATCTTAGTCCCTCTAGATGGAAGATTATCTTCCCAGGCTTGGATAGACATACCAAATTTGATCCTGTTCCATTATGCTGTTGCACCTGTTGAACCAGTTCATTATGGTCTAGATATCTAAACCCCATTCTTTCCTCTGGATGTGTCAGTTTCTGAACTAATTTATTTGCCTCTATATTAACTGGCAAATTCAAATCAACCGGAGGACAGGTTTACATGGTAGTTTTGGGTATTAAAACAAAGGCACCCTAAATACCTAGTAGTTCCTTGTTTAAACTCACCTGACAGTGAGAGTCTAAGATTTTAGAGGCTTGTTAAGGCTTTGGTGCATAGAATTATGGGCTTTGTTCCTCACTGTAGCTGTACTGGCAGTATCACTGAATTGTTTGTGAGGACCAAACAATCCTGCATGGCCAGAAAGATTTAGTTACGTGATAATTGATTCCAAAAGCTGTAATAACTAGCCAGTGGTGTCCCAAACAGTGATCCAATGGTTATGAAAAATTTGAGACATATTTTTCAAGGAAAACTTAATTCATAATAAATGAATAGGACTGGGTCTCACAAAACCAGGAGCACTGATGGAATTCTAGTTAGTTCTCTTTTGTTTCCTCATAGAAGATGATTGGGTGGATCCAGAGGAACTAACACACGCTTCAGTCCCTTTGAAATCAGTAGGACAACTCAGACATAATGACTAGTTTAGGTGCCATTGATTTCAGCTGGCATAACTAACTTCCTAGCATAACTACAGATGAGCACATTGTTAGACCAATAGAATATAATATTCATGCATGGAACTGTACTTAGTTTTGTCTGTTGCGGTATTTCTTTCTTCTGTATGTAAAGTTACAGACCGACATAAACTCTAGGTCTATTAGGGCAATACCTTTATTAGCCTAAGTGCAATATCACTGAACAGTCTGCAAGCTTTCAATCTCTCCACAAGTCTTCCTCAGGCTAGATGTGTGCACCCTCCTCATCCATTCCATATTGAGCCTATAACATGCAGGGTCAACATCAACTATGCATATGCTTTTTCTTTCCCTTTCCCCATGATGCTGGCCATTTAGCCTGATGCAGAATTCAACAGAACTTAAAAGCTTGCACACTAATTTTGTGACATTTTAGTTGGCCTAATAAGGGTGCTGCTCAACATATTAGAATTTTTTGATGCCCAGCAGAGCTACTTTTGCTTTCTATAATGCATCAACAGATGCTACTGATACAGGAAAGTGTCTTTAATCTATTTGAATATATATTTCTTTTATATGCATTTTTGTATTTAGACTGTTGTGTTGCATAACATTTAAAATATTTTGGTTTAGTAAATACTTTTAAAAATTAATAAAGTAAGGGAAGGGGGCTTTGAATCGTAATTGTTTAGACATTTTATTTCTAGTGCTCTTGAAATCTTTGAACAACATTTATCCTGTGACCCACCAAATACTTTTATTACAAGAATCAATTGGTCTTTTTCAATTATGGTTGAACCCCGTGATGCATGAACTAGTTGTAGGGTGTGTGTGTTTTTTTAAGGAGAAGAAAATCCAATTCAACAACATCTGGTAGATTATATAAGACGAGAGGATGTTCTTTATAAATTGTCATGGACAACATGTTTCTCTATTTGGCGGACATCCATTTTTCTCTGTTTTTCCTCTTTTACTCTCTGTTGCTGGCATTTTTCCACCCCCTGCCCCCAAAGATAAAAGCAGAATTGTGTGTATCAAGGTGACATCAACCTTTTGCAGTGGTCACTTGCTACATTTAATTTTGTTCATTCATCCATCTGTTGGACCATTCCCAAAACTTTCCCGACAATGACAAACAAATCCAGTCCAAAACAGCTATATCTGTAGCCAGCTTAAGGACTATAGGTTTAATTGGGAAGTTAAGCCACGAAGCTGAGAGGAATTCCACATCTAGCATAGCTTCACCTTAAGGATGGATTTGTTTTTGCCCTTTTCCCATTTTTCTTCCTTGCAATTCTGAAGCAACACCAATTGGTATAATACTTCTGCCAACCCACCTGGAGGAGGTTTATTTACTTATTCTGTTTGTGCCAGACCCATCCGCCAAGAAGCTAAAGGCAGCAAACATGGTTCTTTCCTTCTACTCATCCCCACCCCAACCTCATTTTTTATTTCAACAACCCTGCAAGGTTAAATTAGGCTGAGGCACTGACTGTTCCACTGTTGTTGCTACAAGATCGGGGGTGGGGGTGGGGAGATGGTTTTCTCCTCGTAAGATATTCTTTTCTTTACAAGAGTTCCCCACCACCAAAAAAACAACCACAACAGGACCACCTCTACCTTTTTGGTGCCCTAGGAAAGGCAATATTTAGACGCTGCCACCCTTTGGTTTCTCTCAACAACCCAGGGGGCACCTACTTCTGCCGTTGTCCTCCGCTCCTCGCCCCCGCCCCACAGATACTGCCTCTTCCCTGCTACCAACCTGCCCCCTGGCAATGAGGCTTTCACCGCCTTCCCCTTTTGGCTGCCCCTTGCCCAGCTCTTCGGCCGCCACAGCCATC